TTCTCCATTGATAAGAATGTTGTTTATTGGTCCAGTGGTGAGGATTTTTGTTTTCTTGACATTGAGATGTATTCCATACCGAAGGCCATGCTCTTTGATCTTCATCAGTAAATATTTTAAGTCTTCTTCACTTTCAGCAAGCAAGGTTGTATCATCTGCATAGTGCGGGTTGTTAATGAGTTTTCCTCCAATCCTGATGCTATGTTTTTCTTCATATAACCCAGCTTCTCAGATTCTTTGTTCAGCATACAGGTTGAATAAGTATGGTGAAAGAATATACCCCTGTAGCACACCTTTCTTAATTTTAAACCATTCAGTGTTCCCATGTTCTATCTGAACAACTGGCCGTTGGTCTATGTACAGATTCCTCATGAGCACAATTAAGTGTCCCGGAATACTCATATTTCATGGTGTTGTCCTTAGCTTGTCATGATCCACACAGTCAAAAGCCTTTGCTTAGTTAATAAAGCACAAGTAAACATCTTTCTGATATTCTCTGCTTTCAGCCAAGATCCATTGGACATCAGCAATGGCCTCTTCTGAATCCGACTTGAACATCTGGAAGTTCTCTGTCAGTGTATGCTTGCAGTTGTTTCTGTATTACCTTTAATAAAACATCACTCCCGTGGGATATAAAAGATAATGTTCGATTTTCTCATTCTGTTGGGTCACCTCTCTTTGGAATGGACACAAATACGGATCTCTTCCAATCAGTTGGCCAGATAGTTGGCTTCCAGATTTCTTGGCATAGATGAGTGAGTGCCTCCAGTGCCACCTCACTTTCTTGAAAGACTTCAATTTCAATTTTTATTCCATTGTTAAGTGCTGTCAAGTCGATTCTGACCCTCATTGACCCTATATAGGGTTTCCAAGGAGCAGCTGGTGAGCTTGAACCACCAACCTTGCAGTTCAAACGACTTTGTTGTCTGATGCATTAGCCCATTGTGCCACACCAGGACTCCATTCTTTTAAGTACCTAATGTTAAATAAAGTATCCTTAAAAGGCTTGCAATAACTATGTGGAGGCCATGTCTGAGTTTTTTGGCTTCACAAGGGGGAAGAAGAATCAAGCTCAAAAGCAGCTCAAGGCAAATTTCTATGAAATAAAGATCAGATGTCCCTCTACCCTACAGCTTTCTTTATTCTGACACCAACCATCCCTCCCACCGAACACTCTTCTGCTTCACTTTTGGGTTTGATAATCCATTGCATTGGCCACATAAAATTCCCAATGATATGGTTTATTAGGGAAGTGAGCAGGAAACACGTCAGTTTTAGAAACAACTCAATATGCAGCAGTTTTCCAATCAGGAACACCTCTCGTCTGCTGTACTGAAGGCATGCATTGTTCTTGTCTTCAGCCTCTCAGCCATGTGCCTTCTTCCCTTCTGGGTAAATCTTACAAAGTTGTTTTAGCCAATATGTAAATGCCCAAAGGGCATGTTCTGCAAGCCAGCCTCTTCCCGTAGTCACTCAACTGTCTCTTCATGCCGCCCCTTCTGCCACTGCCTCTGTTGTCACCACTTTTCTAAATAGGGATATCATGCTCCACTCATGCCACTCTTTCTTGATGGTCCTGGCGTAGTCTATTCTTGCTTCTGAGATGGCTCCTTTTAAACCTAGCAGGATGGCAAAATAGCCAATCCTAGCGTTGGAGTCCTGTACACCCTGTTTGCATGGTTCCTTCCCAATCATTTGGAGGGGAATTAAGACGACATTGGATAGAAAAGCCATTATCAAGTAAATTCAGGGTACCAAAAGGAGCTCTGCCCTGTTGCAGTCACTTACTTACTTTTCAGCACTGTTCATAAATGCTCAAAGGCACTTAGCTCTAACTCCCTGGGTCAGCAAACAGCTCCCCCAATTAAGTGCTTGGAGGGAGGCACCCTCCTCCACATGTGAAACTTTAGCCCAAAGGCATGTAGCTTTATTTGCTCAATTGGCTGGAAAGCCTACCACTCTTATCTGCTGGTCATCTGCTCTTCCTCTTCTGTGGTGTCACAGCTTTCTTTTCCCTGGATTGAGGAGGTTCAGTGCACCAGAGATCTTGGGGTCCAAAGGATGCTCTCCTCTGCTGGCTATTCCGTGACATCCCCATTCCTACTTCTGGTATGGCTCATTTTATGCTCTGTTAGAGTTGCAAGTTTTTACAATTAATACTGTAATCACTCACAACTGAATATATAATACAGTCATCTTCACTTCCCACTTTCTCTTACCCAGCAGGGAAAAAGTTGTTTGGTAGCCTTCAGAAAAGAATCGAACCAGAAAATAGAAACCCAGGCAGTTTTCTGTCTTATCTTTGTTTTGTTTTTATCCTCTTCCCCCCCCCCCTTTTTTTCCCCAGCTTTATTTTAACCCTGTGCTACAGATGGGAAATGGGGAAATGGCTGAAGCCATAGTTCCGTTATTTTTGTATTTCCTGAGGTAAAGTAGTCAGCTATGATTTAGTTTTAAACCAAGGTGCCAAACGAAAGGGGAGGGACTATTGCCCAGCTTGAATGAATGCTTGTTCATGAATTAATCACCTATGGCTAAGTGGGATGGAACAATAGGTTGAAATGTTTTTTTCTGGGAACCTCCTCCTATGAACAAGTAGATTTGAGGTTAAGGGTCAAAACCCCATAGGTGTCCACAGTCTAATAGTGAATTGCAGGAATTAGTTTGACTCAGGGATTATTTTCCTTTTGTTGCTTCTTGTTGTTATTATGTGTCGTCTAATTGGTTCCAACTCATAGCAACCCTATATAGAGTTTCCAAGAAGTGACTGGTGGGCTTGAACTACCGACTTGGCAGTTAGAGCCCAGTGATATCCTACAGTACCAGACTAAGTCTCTGTTATTAACTGCTATCAAGTAAGTTCCTTCTGATAGCAACCCTATATAGGGTTTCCAAGGAGTAGCTGGTAGGTTTGAACTCCTGACCCTGTGGTTCGCAATCTGGTGCTGATCCTACAACACTTGTTAAGTGCTGTTGAGTCGGTTTCAACTCATAGTGACCCTATATAGGGTTTCCGAGGAGCGGCTGGTGAATTTGAACCACCCAGCTTGTGGTTCAAACTGACCTTTTAGTCCAGTGCATTATCCCACAGCTCTGCACCAGGACTCCAGAGCATGCAGTGGGATCATTCAAGAGTTAGTAGCTAGAATTCAGTGGAAGATTAGGAAGAAAATTGTCTAGCATACTTGTATGATTTTTCAAAAAAGTTGAGTGAAGTGTTGGTACATACCGTAATTTAAAGGAAGAGTGTGAACATGTTGTGCTTGAGGTATGACTGTTGTTTGTTACTAAGTTCATTGGAGTAGAAAATATAGTTCTAGAAAGTTGCATAACAAGAAATACAGAGTTGGAAGAGGATATAAAAGGAGCAAGTTTTTGAGTGGCACTCTTTCAGAAAATGCTATTAATACTTTTAAAGAGTCTTTAGAAATAAGCTACACCTGTACTTCTGTCATCTTTTGTTACCTGTAATAAGAGTCTGGATATTGGCATATAGTTTCCAGAAGTAAACACTTAAGGAATTTAAAGATACATGAAACTAGGGGCTTTTATATGAACATTGATGATGGTGTTGTTGTTAAGTGCTGTCGAGTCGGTTCCGACCCATAGAGAACCCTGTATAGGATTTTCAAGGAGCAGCTGGTGAGCTTGAACCATTGACCTTGAGGTTCAGACAAATTTGCAGTCCAGCACGTTAACCCATAGTGCCACACCAGGTCTCCATAAAGATAGATATGGCCTTTTTTTTTTTCACATTTAAAATGTCACTGATAATTCGTAGGTAGATGTTTGAAATTTTCTTCACCTTAAGAGCCCTGCTGTGACACTGTGGGTTAATACGCTGGACTGCAGTCAGTTTGAACCACAATATCGGTGGTTCAAGCTCACCAGATGCTCCCTGGAAACCCTATACAGGTAGCTATGGACCGGAACCGACTCAACGGCACTTAACAACAACAAAGTAACTTTAAGTGGGAAATATGTCAGCCTGTGCTCTTTTTAAATTTAAATTTTAAAATCAAATTCTTGAATGCCTATTGGTCTTTTCCTTCTCTCTTGTCTTCTCACTGACCTTTTGCTATATGTTCTTCAGATTTTATTTTATTTGTACTGTTCTATTAAATTTTAAATCATATATGAATCAAAATTTTACTATAGGACGTCAAAAAGTATTGCTACAAAACCATAGAAATGTTCATTGAGCAATAATATGAAAATATGAAGTTATTGTTTCTTGACATATCCATCATGCAGGTGTATATATTTATGAAGGCAATATCTTCATCTCTAAACTTTACTTCCAAATTCTGTACTCTTCAATTTACAGCGTGTCAAAACGGCAGATTGGTATCTACGAGGGACTCAAATTGAATTCCTTTTCAATGTTGTTTGAGTTATGGGAACAAAAAGAAGTCTGAAAGGACAAGATGAGTGTGTAAGGTTTGTGAGTGAGGTTTGCCAATGAAATTCTTGTAGGACAACTCTTGCTAGTCTTAAAAAATGAGCAGTTTCATCACTGTGATAGAAAAGAATTCCTCCATGTAACTTTCCTGGTCTTGTTCTCAAAATGTTCAGTTTTCTGAAAACATCTTCATAGTAAGCTCCTGTGATTGTTGGACCAAAACATGTTTAAACAGGTTTTCTTTGGAATAAACCAGTGCATATATGAACTGGAACACTAGTAGCAATACTTTTTGACTTGCCCTAGTATCTGCCACAGAGGTATGCGCTCTGAGATAAGCACTGGACTGCTAGCGGCAAGGTTGGATGTTCAAACCCACCAGCCCATTCCTCAGGAACCCTAAACAGGGTTGCTATGAGTCAGAACCGATTTGACAGCACCTGACAACAATGTCTTCCATTGTGCAATTAACTCTTGAGAACTGCTCATTAGCTCCTTTTTTGTCAATGCAGTTAGCAGTGTTTTATGATTAAATATGATAAAATGTATAACTTCATAATTTTTGCTTTGTTTGAAGAAATTTTTTTTTCTTTTATAGCCTTTAATCTAGACAACGAGCAACCAGATTATGATATGGATTCAGAAGATGAGACTTTATTAAACAGACTTAACAGAAAGATGGAAATTAAGCCTTTGCAATTTGAAATTATGATTGACCGCCTTGAAAAAGCCAGCTCTAATCAGGTACTGTACCACATAAAATGTCTCATGCTTTATAATTAATCCAATTAACAGCTTTAGTTTTTCATTTCTTTAGACCTGAGTACATTGAATATACTGTTTCTGGAATCTCTTTTCCAGCTACTCTAGAATTTCTGTTTACAACATCGCTTCAACTGAATACTTACTAATAGCTTCTTTGAATTGGATTATGAAGAGTAGTACTGCTCTGGCATTTTCTTGTTTGGATATATAAATAATTCCAGGTATAACATTATCATGTCCTTTGGGGACTGTCTTTTTGGTGCTTTAGTATAGAGCTTCATATTTATACCAAATCAAATATGCTTAATTGTTTAGGTTTATATTATCCTACTATTATTATCATTTTAATTATTTAAGTACAGTTTATATTTTCAGTAGAAGAAAGATATATACATATGCTAATGAACAATTTTCTTTCATGGGATGCTCAGACATGGCATTGGTAATTTAAAATGGTACTGTTGTTAAGTGCCGTCAAGTCGGTTCCGACGCATAGCGAACCCTGTACAGGTTTCTGAGGCTGTAAATCTTTACGGGAGCAGAAAGCTTCATCTTTCTCCCGTGGAGCAGCTGGTAGTTTCGAACTGCTAACCTTAGGTTCTTAGCCCAATTAATCACCACTACACTTTCATGAACAGTGTTCATGTGGTTTATACCCTTTGAGTTAGTAATCTCACCCCTAGAAATTTTTGTTAAGAGAAGGACTGTTGTTAAGTGCCATCTAGTCAGTTCTGACACATAGCGATCCTATATAGGGTTTACTAGAAGCGGCTGGTGAGTTTGAACCACCAGCCTTGTGGTTCAGATAGACCTTATAGTCATCGAGTACTTATCCTATAGCACCATAGTTCATGGCAGGTTTCATTATCTTATTTCATTTTTCCACATACTTTTTGAAGCCTCCTCACAGTGACAATTGTAAAGATGTTCAAAATAAGTTAGATAATACAGTGGATATATAATGTTTTTTTAAATGTTGTCAAGTTGATTCCTACTCATAATGACCCTGTATAGGGTTTCTGAGGCTGTAAATCTGCACAGAAGGAGAAAACTTCATTTTTCTTCTGCAGATCAACTGCTAGACTTGAACTGCTAATCTTGTAAAGCAATCCAGTGTTTATTTTACAGAGCCACAGCACTCCGGGTTAGCATCTTAAATGCTGTCAAGTTGGTTATGACTCACGGCAACCTTGCATCGGGTTTCCGAGGTCATAAATCTTTACAGGAGCACAAAGTCCCGTCTTTTTCCTGAAAAGCAGGTGGACTTGAACTGCTGACTTTATGGTTTGTGGTCCAGTGCTTATCCTACAAAACCACTTAATTTCCCCCTAGGAATGGCATGTAGCCATTAAAAATCACTAATTTGTAGGATATGTAATGCCATAGGAAGTTGCTCATTATGTAATGCAAAATTTCAAGAACAGGATACAAAATTATTTATGTAGAAAAAATCACATGTGTTTGAAGCATTTATATTTCACTTATTATGTGCATAGAAAAAGCAACCAAGAAAATTCAAGATGCCAACACTGATTCTAGTAGGTTTTGGAAATACTGGTAATTTCCATGGTTTTTTGTTGTTGTTGTTGTTTTATTTCCTAAATTTAATAATCTTTTTACATTTGCCTGTTAAAAATTTTTGGACTACTTTATGCATGCAAATCTATTATTTTCTCTTATCCCCAAAGTTAAGCCCTTTAAGGCTCTTTGGAAAGTGTCCCATACTTTTCCATTGTAAAATGACCTTGCTACATATTTAGCCTTACAGGTTAATGTTCGGGACTGCAAGGTCAGTTTGAAGTGCAAGGTTGGCAGTTCAATCTTAACCATCTACTCCTCGGAAACCCCATACAGGATTACTGTGTGTCAGAACCGACTCAACACTTAACAACAATCACTTTTTCTCCTCCCCCTATTTTGATAGATGATAATATTCGGTATATTATTGAAAAATACATTGAAAACTAAATTTTATAAATTTCAACCTGAATTTTAGAAAGTTGAACCTATTTGGGGGTGCATAGATTGCTGTGCTTGATTTTATTTATTGGAAATTTATTTTAGTTTTCAAATGTGGTATCCATTGTAATTGGTACTCATATATTTTCTGGAGATTTGGCCAATGCCATCATGTACGACTTTAGTATTTCTTTTTTAGATGCCAATTTACTTTGTTGTCCTAGAGTGGATCAAGCTAAGGAATATTATTTTATGGGAGTTTTATCCTGATCCTTGCTGCTTTGATCTAGAGAATATTTCCATCTTTTGCTCTGGTTACCTATTCCAAAAGAATATTTAATAGACTAAAGTATTAGATTAAGCATTTAAATATTAAAGCAGGTGAAAAACTGATGATAATGAATAATAAGTTACACCCACACACACAGATTTAAAAAAACATTTTAAGCATATTAAGTAAAATGTGATTGTATTACAAAACCCATTTAGTGAAATATTAAAGTCTAGTTTCTTAAACATTCATCTAAAAAGTCTTAACTACTTTCCTCTAGTTTCCTGTCCTCTGAATGATGCTAGTTACTTCCTGAAAACGATAGTTTGGTATTTGTAATTGAATAATGATGCTTTCAACTTGATGTAAAACTCATCTCTCAGTTGGTTGTATTGTGGTGACTTGTGTGTTACTGTGATGGTAGAAACTATGCTAGTGATATTTCAAATACCAGCTTGTCACCCATGGTGGACAAGTGTCGGCAGAGCTTCTAGGCTATGACAGATTACAAAGAAGGAAAAGGCCATTGACTTCTAAAAAGTTAACCACTAAAAACCTTATGAATAGCAACCACATTGTCTGATACAGTATTAAATATGAGCCCCTCAGATTGAAAGGCAATCAAAATATGCCTGGGGAAGAGCCACCTCCTCAAAGTAGAGTTGATGTGAATGGAGCAAAGCTTTCATATGCTGATGTGTCATAACTTACTATAAATGAGAAGAAACCATTAATTGAAATGGGAAGTGTATGAGAAAACAAAAATCCTCAGAACTGGTAAAAAGCAACATCATGATCAACAGAGAAAAAATTGAAGTTGTCAAAAGGTTTCATTTTACTTGGATCCATAATCAGTGCTCATGGATACAGCAGTCAAGAAATCATATGATATTTCATTTTGCAGATATGTTGTCAGAGACCTCTTGGAAATGTTTAAATAATTCCACTTTGAGTCAGAACTGAGGTGACTTCAAAAAGTTCATGAGCAAATGAAATTTTAAAATATTAGTAAATTTCCACAAACTTTTAAAAAGCTTTTTTGTACATATATGTTTCCACCACTCATATATCAGTTTATTTTGTTGTTTGTTGTTATGTACCGTGGAGTCGGTTCTGACTCATAGTGACCCTGTACAGGGTTTCCAAGGCTGTAAATCTTTACGGGAGCAGAAAGCCTCATCTTTCTCCTGCAGAGCAGCTGGTAGTTTCAAACTGCTGACCTTGCGGTTCACAGCCCGATTTGTAGCCACTATGCTACCAGAGCTCCTTTATTGTGTTGTGGTGACCTACGTTTTGCTGTGCTACTGGAAGCTGGTTAAAAATGAGGCTGCAAACTTCAAGGTCAGCTTTTAGAAACTACCATGGGGAACTGTTCCATGGGAGAAAGAAGAGGCTTTCTGCTCCCATAAAGATTTACAATCTCGGACACCCTGTACAGGGTCACATCACCACCACCACCACTGGAAGCTATAACACTGGTATTTTAAAATAACCAGCCAGTCACCCATGGTGGACAGGCTTCAGTAGGGCTTCCAGAATAAAAGTAGAAAGCAACAGAGGCAGAATGTGTAGCTACTAAAAACCTTATGAATAGCAGCAGAACATTTTTAGATACAGTACTAGAAGATGAGCCCCTCGGGTTGGAAGTCACTCAAAATACAACTGGGGAAGAGTTGCCTCCTCAAGGTGGAGTTGACCATGATGACACAAATGGAGTAAAGCTTTCGGGACTTTCATTTACTGATAGTTTATAACTCAAAATCAGGAGAAATATGATGAAATACAACTGCAAACTTCCATGAATAATTAGAACATAGAACGTACATAGTGTGATCTAGGAAAATTGGAAGCTGTCAAAAGTGAAATGGAACACAAAGAGCAATAGCCTAGGCACTTGTGGTAGCGGTAGTTGTGTGGCAAGTCAATTCAAACCCTATGGGTTTCTCAGGCAGTAAATCTTTACAGGTGTAGAAAGCTTCTTACTCCTGCAGAGCAACAGGTAGATTTGAACTGCTAGCTTTACAGTTAGCAGCTCAGCTTGTAATTGACTATGCTAACAAGGCCCTTATACCAGGCAGTCATGACCTAAAATCTGACAGTGTGGGAGGCAGGGCTTGATGGTGGATCTGGGAGAAGTGCAGTGAGGACCTCTGCCAGCAGTGACACCGAACACCAGACAAAGCAGGTTCAGAACCAGACCGTCCCGTCACAGAACTCTGAACTACATATAAAGGAATATTTAGAACGTTTGCAGGCAGATAGCTAGTGGAATTTGTAGCAGAAGCAAGAAAATTGGTGTTTTCTGATTGGGTGAGACAAAGTGGGGGAAAGGATCAGAACAATGCTCCTACTGCAGGTATCTGGCCCATTTTCAGAGACAAAGGTGTGGACATCTCTTTAGTTTTGTTTTACTATTTTGTTCAGTGGTCTCTCTCACTGTCTGGGCACCTCCATTCTGGTGACTAGAGGGGGTACCTGAGCAAGTGAACACCTCCCTACCCCCAGAGGATTCTGCTGTGCATGTGCACAGATCTGCTCAGCAAACTCTAAGAAGGGGAGAGAAAGGTTACTCTTAAAACCAAACGGCAGCGCAAAACAGCTACAGCTGGCCCTGATCTGATCACATCAACCTGGAGGCAATCAGAAAATATAATAAAACATCATCATATATTCGTCTAATTATTAAGGTCAAAGCTCACTACTGAAGATGCCCAAGAAACAGAAGACCATCTCTGCACACATCCAGAAA